GAAGCAGATATGTTTTCCTTTTATCTGTCAATTCTTTTTCATTTATCATTCAGTAGAACGGCACCTTCAGGAAGTTCATGTAGGCCACTGCATCTCATCCTTTTACAGGTAGTCTTAAATGAGGTAAGAGAAAGAGGGAAGAGAGGGCAACAAATTGCCTGGTTACAATCTTCTAGTGGTGCTAGTTACTAAATTTTATTAGAGACTGGAATATAAGCCTTATTAATATTAATTATGGTTAAGTGGAAAGGTATTTGCCTGTTATCCTCATGACTAGTAATAGTCCTAAGATTATTTTCCTTTTGTGCAACTTTTCCTGACAGGATAACTCTGTCTGCTCTGGAATAGAAGAGGTGACAATCCTGAAAGCCATGTATAATTTGAACATCCCTTAAAAACCTCAGTGTTTTTGATCTGTGGTTTGCGAGCTTGCTCCTGTTCTGTGTCTATCGAATTTAGAAATTCATATATGTCCCACAGTTGGATACGTTTGGTCTCAGATTCCAACCTCAATATATTTTCTCTTACTCTTTATTTTTTGCCTATTTCTGCTTCTGCGGATTTGGGAATAAATGGTTATATTTTTATATGAAGTTCTTTTAATCCAGAATGAATGAGGTTACTGGGTGAAAGAAATACGTCACTTGAAACTCTGGGTAAATATACAAAGAAATAACCCCATAAATGTCTAATTCCTTGCAGAGACATCATAAAATAACACTAGAAGTGAAAGGCCAGGAAAGGTCTCATATGCTAAGTATGAAAAGCAAGATAATTTTTTTCACTTGAACTATTTGATATAAATCTGGAATAACTCAGTTTAAAACTAGATTATCTGAGAACAAATTTATTCCTAAACATCTTGTGAATTCTACTTTCCATCTTTTTTTTTTTTTTTTTTGGCATAACTTCAAAAGTGAAGATGCTCTTTCAGTGGTAGGTTTTGCACAGTGTACTGTGAGCATGAAACTTTAGTAATGTTGCTGATCAAATAAAATTGATACCAAGAAAAAGCTATCTACAAATTGATTTTTATTCTCGTGTGACATGTTATGAACAGTTCATTTTTCACTCTTTTCTTCCTCCCACTTAATGCAGAAAGCCCATACCATGTCAGAATTACTCTACTGGCTGTTAGTATTAGTGATTTTTTTTTCTTAATTGTTATATGGGCAGTTGAAATAAGGATTGGTTGTTTTGCTGTAATGTGCCTTTGGTTTTTATTTTATTTTATTTTATTTTATTTTATTTATTTTATTTTATTTTATTTTATTTTATTTTATTTTATTTTATTTTATTTTATTTATTTTGCATAAAGTCTAATCATTCAACTTTATTTTCAAGGGTAGTTCTGTTGGATTCTTACAGCTGGATTCTTACAGCTGAGTGCCTCCTGGTCTTCCACATGACTGAACTTCAGAAGAAAAACAGTTCATATATCTTAGTAAAAAATCTGGCCAGGGATGTTGTGCCACATCATTTCTAACTGGATTGTAATTTGACAGATGTGTATTTAGATAGCGTATCTCATCTGACTGGTGCACAGAACTTGTATTCCTCCAAAGAGACTACGTATCTGTTGCACTCTTTCTGTCTCCTTTATATACATCTACAGATAGTGCTGGCTATTCAAAAGATATCAATATGAAAATGTTGACAACAGATTTTTTATAACCAGAACAGAGCATGACTGGAGCAAATCAAGAATGCCTCCATGCCTGTGTGCCAAAGGCTGCCTCCTTGACAAGAGCAGGTGGTTGAAGAGTCAACAATATGACATAAGTGCTTTGAGTGTGATCTGAATGAGCATAATTGATTCACTACCACATGATATCCATATACTTTGTGGGGGCGTTTATTTCATTGAATGCTGTGTTGAGAAATAAATCAGCACAGGGAGATATTTCTACTAGTACTGATCAATGAGATATGCCATTTGTGTGAGAGATGCATGGTTCTGTACTCACTACAGACCTCTTACAGATGCCGCCCTCTTTAATAGAGAATATTTGAGGAATATGTTTTGATAAAAAGGAATTTAAAAGACTCTTTTTTTTTTTTTTTTTTTTTTCCCCATAAAATTAATTTTTACCTTAGGGATCCTGATTTTCAGTTGCATACTATATGAGAAAATAACTGAAATGTCTCAGAAAAATTGTGCAATTAATAACCCAAGTATTCCTAGGCAGCTGGAACACAGCATGCAAAGGGGGAATAACAAATAATTTGTCAGGAGCAAATTATGACAAAGCAAACTAACTTCTTGCTAAGACACAGCAGTAGGTTTACAAATACAAGGGACAGAGTAAATCTCTTTCTCCTTCATTACTTATACTTGGCACTATCTTGAAAGACATTTTCATAAGAAAGCTAAGGAAACAGTCTTGTTCAATCTTCAGAGTAAATGCAAAGCTGAATGAAAAACGAAAGTCAGAGAATAGTTACCTAATATTATTGTTTAATTGGAATGTATTGAGAAGTTTCTACAGGGAATTGTTCTTGATTAAAAATTTTCAAATATTCTCATGAATGATCTGGATGAGGGAATAATATTATACACAGTACATTTGCATATGACAAGAGATGAGGGATTCTGAACATGTGGAAAGCAGAATTAGAATCCCAAATGGTCTTGACAAATTGAAGAGATCATCTGAAAAAAATAGGATTAAGTTCAGTAGTGAAAAATGCAAAGTGTTAGGCAGAAATAATCAATTGCACAAATACAGAATAAAGTAACACAATAGACATCAGTTCTCTCTTGAAAAGATCTGGAAATGAAAGTGGTTCAAATTAAAAATCAGTTGATGAATTGTTAAAAAGCTAACTGACCAAGTAGTATGAATATGAAAAACAGATCATAGCATGCAAAAATAATCTTCTAGTACTTTAGACAGGTAAGGACTCAGCTTGGAGCACTGTAGCCAATGAGAATTTGACAAAACTGGAGTTATTAAGCCCTCAAAAAGAAGACAGAATGGTCAGGGCAACAATTAAGATGCAAAAACCCCAAAATAAACAACAACACAAACACACCAACAAAACACTCTTGTAAAGGGGGAGCAGTATGTCCTTTGTGTTCATGGCAGACATAATATGAAATAACAAGCTAAATTACACCAGGGGAGAGTCAGAGTAGTTATTGGGAAAACCTTTCTAAACGTAAACATAGTGAAGCCTGAGGAGTCATTGAAGTTGCCATCATTAAGAACGTGCATCTGTCACAAGGGACACAAATATTGATTCTGCCTTGAGGACAAACCAGATGACCTTTTCAAGTCCCTTCCAGCTCTACTGTCTATAATTTTATATCAAGACAGGAACAGACTTTGCAACTCCTGCTTATCTCGAATAGTGCCTAATTCCATGTGGAGAGTTACTGAGTTACAATAAAAATTCTTAGTCAGCAAGAGCAATACTAACCTGTATACAAGAACTGGATTTGGTGAAGAGAAGTTATTGCTTAACATTATTACTGTGTGAATTCTTTTGCTAAACTTATATTGACTTGTACCTGTCAGTATTTTAGAGTAAAAAAATCAGTATTTCAGGTTAGCACAAGTATAATAAAAGATACTATAATTTCTGAAGCGAGTTTAGGGAATAAGGGTGAATATTCAATCAAATCAATTCTTTCTCAGTGGCGTGTGGAAAGTTTTGGGAAGAGAAAGATGAATGACTCATGCCACCTTTCTCTACACTCCTGCTGTTTCTGGCTGCATCAGTCTCAGAAGCTCATAGCTGCAGGAGACCCTTGCAGAATACGGTGTACTTTGGTGCTGTGCACTGTGGCCATGACCTGAACCTTAAAATCCTTACCAGCAGAATGGGACAAATGTGCAGCACAGAGCCAGTGCACTTTTTACCACCTGGGCTTTGTCTTATTCCCTTGGGGCATATTTTGTGCAATGCAAGTGGGGTGACCAAGGGGCCAAGGAATAAACTGTATAAATTTGATTCCTGTCCTATCCAGAGCTCTCTCTTGTGGTAGGGACTTGATGTTCTGTAGTGTTACTTGAGAACTGCTCCTGGTTTGTCATTTGTTTAGGCCAGAGATGAAATGCTTCAGGGAAGCAGTAGTACGTAAATATTTGCCCTATCCAAAAATATATGTATTTCTGAATATTTAGGGAAGCTTGTGAAACTCTTCATACCTTTCTGCTCCTTGAAGTCTGTGGTAACTCTTTTGTATGCTGCTTCCTTCCAGCTTTATGTGCCACATGGTACCAAATTACTGTAGCAGAGATTGGGAAACCTCTGTTTAGCAGGTCTGTTTTATGGTTATGCTAAAAATAGAGGTGAAATGTGCAACTCATTTCAAGAACAGTTTCTTCACTGAGATCACAGGATCATTTAAAGCTGTCCAAACACTTAGGATGAGTGTCCAGATAGTCTGGATTTTTTATTTTTATTTTTTCAAGAAGTTTGGAAGTGGGACAGCTTACTCACTGTAGATGATTCATATCTTCATGTCCAAGTTTGAAGTGGTTCACCACACCGTGGTCACAACTCCAAAAGCATCAGGTGATCGTCAGACATTACTCCTGCCTGTAAGACTGTTTGATTTTTTCCCACTTTCTAGAATTTTCATAACTTACTGACCTCTCCCCCCAAACCCAAACAATTTAGGTTCAAGAACAAGCATTAGGAAACTGTTTACGAAATAATTAATGTACTGAATTCCCCAATAGACGAAGCTCTTCAAGCCAAAGTTATGGGGACTCAAGTGTAGAGATACTACCCTCCTCATGGACTCCTAAAGCACTTTTCCATGTTTCTTTGCAAAGGTTTTATCTTTTGCAGTTTTAAATCTTTTTGTCTAGACAGCAGTAAGTAACTGGCATACCTTTCTGTCAAGTATGGTGTGGTTAAGTCTTTCAGATAAATATAGCTGGATATTTAAATACAAAAATAAATGGTTAAAGCTCTACTTATTAGTAGCATCTGTCTCGTGCTTGATGTGTACTTCTCAGAAATATTCTAATACCTACAGAGGCTATATTTAAGCAACCTTGCTTCTGCTTTGGTGATCACATGTCATGCAATGTCTATATTGTTGATTTTGTTGCTAAGCCCCGCTGTGAGTTCTAGTTTCCAGTGTTTCAGGTTACATGTTTAAACCTGGCCTTCCAACTGTTTCACACTATCCTGCATGTCCTCTTCTAACGAAGCTGATACTCTGGAGGCCTTCTCTTTCCACACTGGTCCACATTGGCATGAAAAATTGAGTGGAAGGAGGAGTTAGTATTACAGATTTTTTGTTTATGATAGTTGTTAACTTTCCACTTCGGAAATGTCACTAAGAGGAAGCCTTAGGAAGCACATATTCGGTGCATGTGGTCAGCAGATTGGCTTCTGACACCTTCCCCCATTACTGGAGAATTTCACGAGCTCTTAAGAAAAAAGCAAACAGAAAATATGAACCTGGCAGGCATCAAAGCTGAGAAACTGAAGAGGACTAGGAGGAAAAGCTCTACTTCAAAACTCTTTTCTATAAGCCTTCGATCTGATGTTTTTCTTTAGGACAGATACGGAAAAAGTTGATCTTATGCACGCTTCTTTGGAGGATTACATTTAGGCCCATTTACGTTATTGGAAGAGAGCTCTCTGTACACCTGTGAGGTTTCAAGTAACTTACAATATAAAGCAGCCAGTGACTTGCGTGGGACTTGGGCTATCCCAATTAAATTGTGTATGATGACATGTCAGCATGCCGGGGCTTCATTTCTGCAAGCAGAAATCCCTTGTGCAGTGTGTTATGGAAATTACTGTTCCATGCCAAGAAATTTTATTTTACTCCATCAGATGCAACTCCATTTCTCTGGCTCTCTGAACATTTTCTGTACGTGGATATGGGTAGTTTGTGTTTCATTAGTGAAATAACTCTAGGTTCTGTGTAAATGTCCTGATGTATTGTACATTTTTTGGCAGCATGTTACTGCTCCTTTGATTAGAGCAGCCACTGTTTATTTGTTTTTATATTTAGAGCAGCGAAATGCAAACATCCTTACCATCAAGAAGGCTAGGCGGGGTAGTACTGAAGGTAGGTGGTTTTTATCTCTGTACTGCCTGTGTGCTTATGTTTGTGTGTGCCAGTTTTGCCCTCTGGTCCAGAAGAAGTTGAAATTGTTCAGAATGCAATAAAAACTGTTTTCTGAAGACTTGCTTTTGGGGAAGAAGGAGAGAAAGAATCCACACTGAATAAAACCATACGCTGAGGTTGACTTCACCTTAGCAAAGTCACTTGGATTTTCATATCCCTATGCAGGTTCATTGATCTACATGCCAAAAGGAGCTGGTTGGTTTTGATTTACAGTTTCTACATTGTTTAGGAGATTATAGTCTAATTTTGCTGCTGCTGTGGCTAGTCAGGGCATGAACTGCAGTCATAATGATAGACACTCTGTTTCTGGATTTTAGCATGCCAGGCAAGGAAGTCACTTAAAAGTAAAGCTGAAATACATGGAAGAAGGGGTTGTGGAGGAAAGAGCACAGGGAGAAGGAAATTAGATTGACCTTGGCTTATTAAAGAGTAGCATACACTGATGAATCAATGAATTTAGGCAACGCTGAAAAGGATGGCATGGGGTGAAAATGATACCTGGCTTTAATTATTAGAGTTAGTGTGAAATGACAAATATAACAAAAAGATAACTGGAAAAAATGGATCCATTTAAACGGGAAAATGTTTTATTGCAAACGGTTGCTTATTTGTATTAGTATTGTGTTTCAGAGTCTGCTCTGAGATGAGAGGACAGGGAGGAGTTGCACTGCACTTCTCACTGTGCATGCATTAATAAAAGATTCGCTGTCTTCAGTGGTTCCCAGCTCCCACAGGGGTGGAATGAAGGGAGTTCCCACTTACAGGAGGGCAGGAGTTTGACTACTAGACTTTGAAAATGTCCTCAGAATGACTTGGTAAAACGTAGTTTTTGGATGTGTAAAGCTGCTTGAGGCATTGTGGTTTCATTCAGATTTTTTTTTCCTTTTTTCTTTTTTTTTTTTTTCCTTCTCTTTTCAAGGCTGGCCTGAGATCTTAAGAGACGCTGTAGTTTAGACTTTGTATTTTATTAACACTTGGCTCTTTCTAATCTGTTACCTTCAGATCACGTCATATGCCATTACAACACAAATGAAGTACAAGAAGCCTTTGGTTGGGCCTCTGGGTATTTCTTTGTAATAAACAATTTATTTGCTATATTTTACCTCTTAGCAGCCAAATGTTCTTGATATTTGAAATGATTTCCTTAATTATTTTTGGGATTAATTTTTGGGTTGTTGCTTGCTCAAGAGTAGTCTATTGTGTGGTCTAATGACAAAATTTGAGCAGATTAGGCTTGCTAGTACTTGCTTCTATCTAAAATAATGAAGTGTCATTGTGAGGGCTCTGTTTCTGACAATATTTACAATTCTAAACTCAAAAGTCATTTTCTGTGCATTTTCTTCAATAGTCAATTAAGATTCTTTGTTCTGGGTTCAGTCAGTAAATTTACTCATTAGAGCATTTTTATGCAAGTGCTTTTTGATTGAGACATCTGTGGAAAAGAGACTGAAAAAGTGGTAGCTAAAGGAAAGGTTAACAAGTTAAACTAGGCATTTACTTTAAAAGATTTCAAATTGTGAAGTACTAAAGCTGTCTTAGGTATAGAATAATTTAGATTGTGATTCACCCATTCATCTTCATCCTGCAAACAATTCAGGCTGGGTACTACACAGAGATTTTAATTTAGGTGTGTAATTCTGCCCTGTTGGATCAGCCCAAGGTTATTTTGCTCACCTGGAGATCTACATCCTGTAACAGACTGAGGCCAAGTTTGTTTTATAACTTGAATATTAACGTGTATTGAGAAAGCCAGATTTCTTAGGGGAAACTTGATTTAATCTGAAAGCCCAAACACTTCCAAATGGATACGTTTATGCCGTGGCTGCACACATGCACATTCTTTGCCTCCTGGCAGTGAGGCTCATGCAATGAAGCAAAGGTTTCTCTGACGTTGTCACGGTGGAGCCCCAGTCTTTTTCCTCTCCTTCTCTCCCCTACCCTTCAGTTTTGGATTCAGGGGTCAGAGAGGTTCAGTGTGGGTATTGAATTACCATGTTGTTACTATTTTGGAAAGGAAAATGCTGGCTGAGAATGTGAAACTTTTTTGTTTTCCTCCCCTTTTTGCACAGTAAGTATCCCCACAAGTAAAACATATGGCTGTAACTATGGTACCAAATTAAATGCTATCTAAAGCACAGTAGCTTTAAAATTGTAGAGGTGTTTGAAAGGCTGTTTAATCTTTTACCTGTTATATATGATATAATAACATTGATATATGTTGAGCAGCCATTTGGGATTTTATATATCAAACAGAGAGTATGTGTATTTTGAAATTTAATCCTTGTGAAATATTTGACATCCTGAATAGGATAATTGACACAGGGACGCTAATTAGGGGGTCGTAATTCAGAAGGTTGTGATCATGTACTTTATACTGACATGTATATTGTTCCCCTGGTAACAATGTTAATGGTGCCTAGACATGTGCATCAGGAGAGGAGAGCATACCCCTGGGAGCTCTGGAAATCAATCTTCTACATAATACCATTTTTATAATGCTCTAGAAGGAGCGGATTTACACATTTTTCCATTTATTATGCTGATCATACATAAAATATCCTGGCTTTAGAATAATTTGATTCAGCTGGTGTTTTCATTCTTAAAAATCTGCAGTGAATAATATCTTCCCCTGAAACTGGGCTTTTCACCTACCATGCTTTGCAGTTCTCAGTGTTCACTTAAAATCTTAGGTAATCTATTATATTCAGCTGAACTGAGTCCTGTTTACCTTCTGCAGGGATTATTCCAGAAACTCCTGAAATGCAAAACCTTCTGTGGCAAGAGAGAAAAGGCAGTCTTGTGACTATGGCTCTGACCTAAAGGACACGCTCTCTCCAAGTATGATTTCATTCAGGTAGTGAGACCAAGAGCTGCATTAAAAAACAGAAGGATTGGCCCTAGGCAGACAGGTGAGCTCTCTTTTTTCTCTCTTTCCCTCCTGGCTTTGTGATCACACTACACGCATAATCAGACTGTCTGCCTACCCCAAACAGAGCATTCCATTATGGCATTTCAACAAATCCTACAGCTCTTGGACTCCATTTCCTCATCTTTACCAGATTTTTCAAACTTTCTGCATGGTAATAAGGCTTAAGTTAGGAAATAAAGCACTCATTTGCTATATGTTAATTTAATGCAGAGAATTATTAGTTAATGCTACTTAATGTACAGTAGTGTACCACTATGGAAGACAGAAAAGTGAAGAATGGGCTAAAATCCAATTAAAATTGCTGGAGTCTAACAAAATTTAAAATCGCCCAGGGGATATTGATCTCATTCTTGAAAAATGCATAGAGGGATTTTTAATTTTTTCAAAATTAAGTTTTTAAGTCTCCTTGTGTGCAACTGCTCCAGAAGCTGTCTCTTTTTGCAGTACAGTGTGTCCTCTGATGCTTGTGTTTGGACATTGCTTTAGCAATGACTCAGAGTTCCAGCTATTGTTTCACTAACACCAGTTCCTGCCGGGCTGGGGGTTTCCCTCTCTTCTCTTTCCCAAATTGTCAGTCAGACTCAGCCCTCTTCAGTTCATAAAATCCAACAGAAGGCCCCATATTGGGCTAGGATGGCTACAATATGCTAATTATGCAATTCCAGTGTTGCAGCTACACTGCAGGAGAAATTATGGCTATTCATCATCATCTGGACCCAAAGGAGGCATCAGTGAGAAGAACAGTCATTGCAATACAGTGCAGATGGTGGCACTTTGTCAAAAATTGCACTTTGGTATGAGTACATCCTTTCACAGTGGGTGCATCATGCAGTTCTGTGGAGCTTCTCCCCAGAAGAGTCACACTGTCCTTTGTGTAGTTTGTTGTTGGGGGGGCTGAGAGAATTAAAAGAAGAAAAAAAAGAGGCAGATATGCTTAAAATTGTACTGGTGTACGAAGATCCATGCAAAGTCTGGGGAAGACTTTATGCTATTTAAACAGCAATATGGTCTGACAGAGACAGTGTGTCTTGGGAACAAGACATCAGGTGGGCTGCTCTACTGCAACAGCAAATGCACACTGTATGGGACCAGAAAGGGCTGAGGGTGTCAGCATTGTATGTCCTGAAGCACAGTTGGGTTAAAGTGAAAAATGGACACATGACATGAGGTTTATGCCAATGTTTTAAACATGTCCAGGCCACCATAGCCACCCACCAAGGCTGGAATCTCCTATTGTCTGGTGTAATGCTGAGAAGCTTTACAAAAGATGCCTATCACCAAACTGAACTTTGTCTTATGACAGCTCTCATCTGTGCAACACATATGCCACTGTGATAGGACTGCTAGCACATTACACTTCTGATATACTTCGTCTCATCAAGGCTAATAAGAATAGCCATTACATGTGTTCAGAAGTGTCCTTGACTTACGGCAATGCCGACATCTCATATGGTCATAATCTTCCTTCCATGTGGATGTTTCCAGAAGTTTTTTTTTTTTTTTTTAACCCTTAACTTATGTATCTCATGAAAGGCAGAAGAAATTGTTTATTTGACCTATGTATGTACATTTCCCTGAACTAACAATTATGCATATTCCTGTTATCTCTGTTTTTTCCTCATCTCCATGTGCGGATAGGTTATTTAATCATCTGCAAATATGGATTACAATCTCTTCTGAGAAGAAGCTACATGGTCTTTACCTACCCTGAAAATCACAGGGCACTCTGAAGAACCACAAAATTATGATACTCATCTTAAAATACTCATATAATTGCATCTGTTTCATATGCCCTTAACCTTGCACCTCTGCAGCAGTATAAATTCAATTAATTTTCTGTTTGGAACTATCCTCAGAGATGGGCTAAGATGAAGAATGAGCAGGTTTCTTAGTCTGCCTGAAAAGTTGCTTGGTATTTTGCTCCATTTGTGGTGTTTCAGCATAAGACATACAAATTTCCAGTTTAAGGGCTTTTGTGGGCACTGGTGGTAAATTCTGACAGTAATAAATATGATTATTCTGCTTGAATCTTAAACTTTCCAAAGGCTTTTTTGATTTTTTTTTCATGCTTACTGTGCTTGGACCCTCAATATAACATAGAACAATGGTTTATTAAAACAAGCTGCTGTATTAAATGTGTGCTTACTCAGCTGGAAGCTAGTTGACCATTTCTGCTGCTGCTCTCAAATTCCCAAGCTGCAGATGGAGTTGGGTTAATGTAACATAAATTTCCCAAGAACCTGCAGTAGAATTTAACATGTTCTTTGCTACATATCCTCACCTTCCAAATTAATCTGAAGATAAATGAGAATTGTTTATTTGTTATTTCATGTTGTACTCTGAGACAGTGTACTTGTTTGTTACAGAAGTTTCTTCCTTATATTTTGAGTAAACCTGAGTCCCTAAGAAGCTGTTTAACACTGATGAGGGAATACTATATGTGCAAAAAAAGTCAAAGGCACACCAGTATACAACGTAATGGGGGAATTTTTTTTTTTCAGTCTTAGTATTTCAGCAGAAAGAAAAAGGAAAAAAAACAAAAAACTGTTAGAAATGGCATGTATGCCTGAAATTTGGTTCAGTGTCTTCCCCTCCTTCTCCAGGCATTTGGCATGCAGTTGTGGGTACAGAATCACAGAAAACCTGAACAACAATAGCAGCAGTGTGGAAATCGACCCATGTACCCACACTTACTGAGTGGTTCCAGAAGATGTGGGAAAGCCTATTGATGGAAAAGCTGATTCATACAATTCTCCCTTCCCCAAAAGTACAACAAACAAAACCACTCCTGTACACAAGTATATTTGGAATCTGTCCACTCAATATACCAGGTGCTAATAAACAATACTCTGGAGAATATTTTTTTCAGGAAAACCAAATGCAATATTCAGGAATAAAGCTTGCAAAAAGCAAAGCTCATAACCATGTGCATGAGTAGATCTGTCTTTAACAGAGAGGACCGACAATTTTTACCCTTTCTCCTCATTAGTCCTTGGGCACAGACTAAAATGGCAATGGATGTGCAGCTTGTTGAGCTGCTAGATCTGATCTACTATGCAGACTGACGTTCAAATCTGGTCTGACCAGGCATGCACCTGGAGATGCCTATGCAGCTTGCCTGTCCTGTAGTGTACGTGCTCTGTAAGAAAGAGGAGAGCACTGAAAATGAGGTTGGGATCCAGCACCAAGCACCCAAGCTAAAGCTTGTTCATACCAACAGGTGGGTTCCTATTGTCCTCAAAGGATCTTAAATCAGAAAATGTGGGGAAAATGTCTTGAAATAGGTATCTAAGTTTCTGCTATTCTGTTTTTGGAAAGAAGGAAACTGCATTCATAGAGAGAAGTTGTGATTCAGTGTATCTATGACATTTTGAGAAGCAGCACGGGAAATAACTTCTGTAAATGCCTCCAATTTGTATAAAACAAAACAGGTTACTGGCATAACAAAGTGTACTTGTGCCTAACTAAAATATCTTAGATTCCTAAATTAGGAGTTTGAGTTTCTGGAAGGTTCAAGGGAGAGGGAGTTTCACATCAGCTTAAGAGCCAACGTTTTTTTCTTCACAAGGAGGAAGCCTTCAGTTAGGCCTGTAATATTAGGCAGTGTGGCCTTATTCGCCTCTGCCTGGTTCTGTTGCCAACCCTACAGATTCAGTTCTTCATGCTCTTTCTGAGGATTTTGAGTAGGTTTTCAAAAAACTGTTTAGCAAAGTGCTCTGGATATTATCTCAGTTGATTTGCTGTACTGCTTTTCCTTAGCTACCTGCTTGATCGGAATATGAGGCAGTAGATTGGAGGGCAGCCTCCCAGCTCCTTCAGCACAGACATTTTCTTCTGTCCATAGCATCATGCTGCCAGAGAGCTCACTTCCCAAGGACAATGTTAACTTTTCATTTCTGTCTCATTTTAATCTCATGTGAATTTGAAAGAGAAAGTCTTGATTGAAGGTTAGCACTACTAGGACAAGTTGGAGCCATTTCAAAGACAGACAAAACATAGAGATGAAAATTTACAAATAACATAGAGGCTGCAGGGCTAAGCAAGGAAGGAAATCATCTTGCTCTTCATGTGCCTATGTGACACAGTTCTGTGTTAGAAATAGGTGAACTAACTTGCTGAGGGTTGAGGTTGACTAAGAGTCTTTGCTTAATTCTGACAAAAGCCACATTGCGTCTTCAGCTTCCTGTTCTCCATAGTTGAAAGGAGCAGGTGACAGAACCAGCTCAAAGAAACAGTATTTCTCCCGACCCAAAATTGCATTAAAGCAAATGACTTGGAAATAAATAAGTAACCAGAAACTGTAGAAAAAGACTACAGATAACATTGTGTCCATGGAAATATTAGCACAAGTTTGCTCTTCTCTGTGCTTGAAAATTAATCATCATGCTGCTTTCTTTAATCAGTGATGGTGATGTTGATGAGGTGATGGTCATTTTTTTAACCATCTTCCCTTCTTTAATGAGATAAACTCTTAGAACTGTTGCAAGTTTTGAAAGGTGTCGGTAACAGCAGCATCAAGAGTGATGGAAACCAGCACCATTGTATGGTTTTATAACATGGGGAGCAGATGTAACTTTCAACTTGCTAGAAATTACCTAGGCACCTTTCTTATTATTTATTATTATTATTTATTTTTATTATTATTATTATAAAACAGTGGAACTGTTAGAATTCAATGAGATAAAAACACAGCTATGGGTGCCATGGTTTGGTCTGGATTACAGAAGGAAGTTAAAGAATGCAGCTTCAACTCCAGGGTCTAACAGTCTGTGAAAGAACAAGATGTGAAAGATATGCACAAACAACACATGTGATAAATTCCTCTGAGAAAGTTATTACTCTCTCTTTTCCATTTCATTTGGAATGAAAAGAGAGTCAAACAGCCTATTCTGTTGTGTTCACATTTGCTAACTGTTTACACTTTCTGGTTAATTACTTTCTATAGTTTAATGGAAAGAAAACCTCAAATACCTTGTCTTAAAAGCTTACATTTGCCATACTAAAGAACTCACAAAGTTCGTGCTCAATTGTAATTTTCAGTGCAAATAAGATCTTTTGGAGAATTGAAAGAATAAGAGCAAACACCTAAATAGTCTCTAAAATGCTGCTCATGTTGAGACAGTGTAAGATAGTAAATTAAAGTTTAGCAGTTCAAATAGGGAATATTTCTTCAGCTTCTGGGGCATGACAAAGTTGCTCAGGGATTGTGGCATTTTGCCAGATCAGGGAGCCTCCAGGAACTGAAACAGAATAGTACGGGTGACCCTTTGCTGCTTTAGACCAGCTGTTGGAGAGAAGGGAAGCACTGATGTGTGCACTGCTACGTGAACAAAAAGAAACCAGAGTACGTGGAAATTGTCACATCAGCATTAGTCTGGGAATGTGTACCTTTGCTGGTGGGAATGTAATGTTTTCATTCTTTTTTTCCATTTATTTATTAAAGAGGTACATCTATAATGACTCATTCTTTTTCTAAAATGCTACCTATATTTGTGCAGTAGTATACTGCACAGTATATGTAAAACACTGTGCCATTCTTATGTGGTCACAAACAGAAGGACTATTGCAGTGCATGGGATCTGTCCTTCAAACTTAGGAAGCTTGAATTCATGCTCTGGGGATTTGGTTTCTCCCTGTGTACTCCAACTAATGGAGAACTCAGACTAAGGAAGACTCACAAGTGGCAGCCGCAGTGTTTGGGGGATCCTAACACTATTCAGCCAGGCAGGGTAACTTCTCATTCCTCACTGGATCTACTCTGGGAGCATTTCTGCTGTAACATAAAGAGATCTGAGCTGAGTGATAGGGACCAAGCATGCAGTGATTCAGCTGACTAATTATTGGCTACCTGCTCTCTGTGCTGGCTGAGATAGAGGGAAGGCATCTGGGCTGATCCTGCCCATGCTACACACAGTCTGTGGGCTGCAGCAAGCCTACGAAGTGATGTGTTAGATTGACGGATAGCCCAGAGTTGTCCTGGGATGTTTGGCCTGCTGTCTTCCTAGACATCACTCAGTGTACTTTTGCATCTGGACTGCTGGACTGGCTGGAAAAAAAAATAATCAGATGTAGCTAAGAGGAAGGGGAAGTTTAGGTCATACACACTGTGATATCGTAGATAGGTTCACAGGGCACATGAGGATGGGGATATTTCAGTCAGAGAAGAAAAGGAAGAGCCAAATGTTCAGTGCAGGACACGTACTTATTTAAGTTGCACAGTGCTGACACACAGTGGAGGGCTCCATGGTACCCTTTTCAAAATTCACTCCAGTCCCAAGCAGGAAAAGAAAGTGATATTTTGAGTACAGAGAAGGCACTCAGCTAGCCTAGAAGGAGCAGCAGCTGTTGAATCAGCTACAGAGAGGGCAAACCAGAAACACAGAAAGCTGAGCACAAACAGATGAGAATGGAGCAAAGAAGCAGCAGGAGACAAAACAAAAGGATGCAGCCCAATGGGCTGTCTTGTCTACAGCTCTCTCCTAATGCAGAGTGACCTGGGGTGAATGCTAGAATGGGAAGTTTTCATAAAACTTTGTTAGCCCTGAATCGGTATCTGATTCCAATGCCTATTGCCTTAATTTTCACTTATACATCTAAAATTTAATAGTTATGTATGCTGCTATGTAATTACTTTGTAGGAGGGAAAGGGGCAAATCCACTACCAATAATTTTTAAGTGCTTCTTACCCAAATTGCCTGGATGAGAATTACAAAACCTGGCCTTTCCTGAAACTCCTCCTTTCTCACCTACATGGGCATAATGCCGCAAGTTTAAACACTTTTCCTCCTCTTTTGAAATAAATCACGTGGGTGGATACTCCTAATGTTCTTGTCCAAGTTGATAGTGCTATGTCCTACCCTGCAAGTCACAAGAATTTGCTGTATTCTTCAGAGATATGTATTTGCAATTTGCAATTAGTCATCCGTAGAAGGGGACTGTTTAAGACAAGCCTTTCCCCCAAAGCAGTTAATTCTTCAAAATGAAAATAATCAGATAATGAGTTCATTTCCGATTTCACATTTAATGCCAAACATTTTTGGGTAAACAAGATATGCTGGCAGAGCTCTCCTCTCATTGTATGTTTTTTATTAACTGGGAAACAGACAGTTGATTCTTATCCTCTCTATCAGCTCAAATAAATTACACATATTTCAGAATGGGAGACTTGTGCAAACTGGCTGGCTGGTTTCAGTGTGGGAGCCCAGCAGCCAGGCTGTGTAAACTGCACTGAGGTCAGCTGCAGCAGGCCCTGCTAGCGAGAACCAAAATCCTCCAAAAACCCAGCTCAGGAATCTCTCACTCGATGGAAACTTTTACCACAGTAACTCATATTTCTCCAGAAAGAAAACAAGTAGGGCAGCAGACAGCCCATCTCTGGCAACTTTATCAAATAAGACAAGCCCAATAGTGGAGCTGCTGCATCATTTCTGCTGACAGCCTCTTGGTAGTGCAAGGGAGCACCTGAACAGCATGGGTGTTCCTGCACGGCTCCTTGCTGTGCTTGAGCTGGCTTCGGCTTCAGCTGCTGGTGATGCATGGGGTAACAGACTGCTGTTTTTTGTGGGAGGGGTTTGTTTTAGAAGGCTTGTGTAGGGAGGTGAGAATATAACAAAGTGTGGGGTAAATGAGTGTTAAATACAGTTTTCCCACCCTGGAGCTCATCTTTGGACTTGCTGTACTTTTACAGACCTGCCAAAGAGAACAGAATCTGGGGACCCTGAAGCCCTCAAAATTGATACTTCTCAGGCAGGAGAAATTGAGAAGAGAGAAATTGTGATGTTTCATTTGGAAGTGGTATTTATGGCATACATTGTGTCAAAAGCATTTAAAGAAACTTGGAAAAGATGTCCCATATTTTAGTGAGACTAAAATATTCAAAATAATTTCTAATTTTGAATATTGTAGTTTAAAATTCAGGCTGGTGTCTCATCTCTCTCGTACAAAGAATATTTTTTCTTGTACAAAGAAAAGTGTGTGCAACAAAAGCTGAAATGTCACGAAGAGAACAGTCATTCATAAACAAGGCAAAGCTGCCTTCCCTGTTGATGCTTTATATTAGCTTAGCACTTAGGCTGATGGTGCTAGCTCCTGTCCAAAATGAGAATGTAAAAACAATCTCTGCGCTAAAGAGCTCACAGTCTAAACAAAACGAAGAGTCAAGAGACGGAGACAGACAAGAGGAGGGAGTTCAAACACAGCGATAATCCATCAGTGCGCAGCCTCAGTGCAGCAGTAATCACACTGCCATTAAGGTTTTAAATGGCCATTGCAGTTAAGGAGCATTTCAAGGTAGGATTTGAAAGAGAGTAATGTGATTGTTTTTATCGAGCTTTGCCCATTAAAAAATTAGTGAGAAGCAGTGCTAGGAAGACATAATTTGACCTCAAAAATCTCAGATTCAGATGTGGAATGAAAATGATAAGTAGAGTTTATTAAGATCATTTTTTACTGATGTACAAAATAACTTCCATGACAGTGGAGGGTGTAACAGAACTACATAGGTGCAGCTGGAGAAAGGCTCTGCAAGCTCTCCACAAGTCCTGGCTTTGGCAGTTTCACTGTTCAGCTTTTTCAGACCCACTGAAAAGAAGTTGCCTGGACTTTTGCAGGGGTACGGAAGAGAGGGAGTCTGCTGTCCACAAAATAAAGCCAATGAACACTGTGATTTCTGGGAAAAACAATATTTGCAGCATGGGCTCCAGACAGTAGAAGCTGGGGTATTAGTAACGTGTGACTGGAGACAGTCTCAGCAGTGCAGCTTTTGCTGTCAAAAGAATAAAGGAATGTCTTGAGAGAGCTGCTCCTTTCCAGCCCTCTACTTAGAGGGGAAAAAGTGCAAATATTTTTCTTTCTGCTGTCATTCTGAGGATGAAGCCACCATTTGGATTTTCCTAACCCGGTGTTTAACTTTCAGATGACAGAAATACAACAGTTCACAAGAACATGGTCTCAGCCCTCACACATATGCTAGTTAACACTTTGATGGCTGAATTAAATGCTAAACACATCTAAGCTGATTAAATAAGAATTTGGCAAATTACAATAATACCCTGACCCCCTCACCCCCCAAACAAACAAACAAACAAACACAAACCAAAAACAAACAAGCAAACAAACAAACAAAAAACTCACAAAGATATGCATCTCTGCTGTTTCTTTTTTAAAGCCCTTCTCAGATCATTTTCTTTTCTTTTTTGGTAAAAGCCTGATTTGGAAAGTTATTGTCTGGAGGCTGTATTTGCATAACAGCAAATAGAGTCAACCTACATTGTCCAGTTGAGGAAAAAATAACCTTCAGAGAAAAGGAAGGCAATTTGCCCTGTTATGAGTCATCAGAAGCCGAAGGAAGGAGACATTCTTGAGGAAAAGGTTGCTGGCATAGGTCTAGTGCAAAGGAAAAGCAGCACTATTCTGCAGCCGTGGCTTCTCTTGGAGAACAGTTAATGAATTGGATGTGTGCTCTGCTTTTCTGTTCCCAGGAGGCTGGTTCCTGGTAGATTGATAGGGGTAGTTGTTTGCTGCAGTGTTTTCAAGTTGCTTCAACTGTTTCAAGCCATGTGCCTGGTTATCTGTTCGGGGTTCCAGAAGTTTGAATTTAGTTAGATACCTACCTGTTTTCCATACAAGCTCTGGGTAGGCTCTGGGTCTGATACCTCCTTAATCAAAAGGTTCATTCTCTCTCCTCTGAAATTTCTGATGCACCTTTGTTGTTTCAGAATTTTTTATTTATTTATTTATTTTTTTTTGTATTGTGTTTGTCTCCAACTTAAAGCAACTTTCATACTGTTCGGTTTTTCAGGGGAAAAAAAACTGTGGTGAAGGGACATTCAGAAAAGCACCCAGCTTCTCTGCAGATTCTTTTTGAGGAACTCCATTGCAAGAAAACAGAATTGTTATACTTATGTGGAATGGTTGGTTTTTCATGGGTCTTAATGCTTCACTATCAGGTTTGCCAGCCCCTGCTATCTGTGAAAGTATATTTGATATGAGCACCCCATTTCATCAGATAGGAAGTATGCAATGACCTTTAATTGACTTCTACACCCTGGTTCCTCTGGAAAATGTGTAGTGAATCTGTTGATAATTTCTCAAATATGGAGTTTCCCTAAGGAATATCCGATTTAGACCAGTCCCCTGACCGCTCCAAGGTCTGTCACAGAGCAAACATCTCTGTGCCCAGACTCAACCAAGAGGGCAGCCGTCTCCCAGAGAAATGGCTCATGACTAGCAGCACTACAGCCTCCAACTGAAATGTGTAACGCTGGTTTGTCCTTCAAGTGTGAAGCCAATAAGGAATCTCTACCACAGTTTTTGAACATATTTCCAAGTATGGCAGGGTGCAGTGGCAGGCACATAATAGGACTTTTGGCATGTATTATACTGTGCTCAACAACTCCACTCTCTGATCCAAACATGCCCACCAAAAATAACTTCAGTGAACAGCTTTTATTTTAATTATTCCAGTGTGGGACTCATGAAGTTTTGCCAACAATCTGGTTTGTAAAGCTTTTTGTGTCTAAGCACAGAAACCCGTAGTGTGTAGTTAATTCCCCACTGGGATTTTCCTGATTCAGTCACAGGTCTATTCTGCAACCTCATCTTTCTTTACCTATCACTTGCTCTTAACACTGTTCACCCCATTGACTCCTTGAAATCTCATGCCTTCTTGGCTTCTGTGACTGCTCTTTCCCAGCTTTACCCCCTAATTTTCTGTTTTCTCTTTCAGCTCCAAATTTAGTGGTTGTTGGTGGATATTTGGTGGTTCCCTAGTAGTTCTGATCTCTGCAGGGCTCTCACTGAGCTCTGTGTGTGGGTTCTCCTCTTCCCCCCTTTATGCTCTCTGTCCAACTTAGCAGGGGTATAATAACTGAACAGCTACAGTTTTTGCCAATGACTTGCAAATCTGCCTTTTCCTATCTGATCTGTTTCCTTTTGTCATTGAACCTTTCTGGTTTCTTCCCTAATTGTCTCCCTCTTTCCATCTTCCCTTCCTCCCCATGTCATAAATCTTAAAACAAACATAAGAAAAAAGACGTCCCTGTGGTTTGGTGGTATGAGCCGCTCCATTCTGCAGAACTGACTATGGTCGTTCTTCTCTCTTCTCTACATTCAACTATTTATTTAACCCTTCCTTTATCCAACTCTACTTTGTTTTATGGGGAAGCACTTGCAATTTGGGACATGGCAATGGTGCAGTATTTAAGAGGTTCATATTACTTTGTGAATAACCTCAGATAGCCAATAAATTGCCCCTTTAAAAAGATTGGATGTGAAAGGAAAAAAAAGAAAAAAAAAAAAAAGAGTTCCTATGATGCTCAGTTTAGATCAGGTTCATTTCCTTAGGTTCATTTCCTGAACGTGACAAAAGAAACACCTTTGGAAGGAAAGAATGGGAATGTTCCAGAGCAGGATAACCTATAGTCTGATAGTTTTTAGCGCAGGTGTGGATAATACAGATCCCTTCATGCCTAGAGGGAAGGGAGCCCAGAGCTTCTGCAGCAGGAGGGAGTGCCCTAGTTGTAGTCCTATTGCGTAAAGCAGCCCTGCAGCAGCAGCACCCACTTCTCTCATTGTTTTGGCAGAGGAGGGTGGAGATCCCTGTCTTGAGATAGGCAACAAAATTCCAGAGAGGCTTAAGATGATTTCAATATCCTCAGCATTTCCTAATGGCTAATCTGGGCAGCTCTTGCTCAGCCCTCTGGGCTATCTGCATTCTTCAGTACCCAAGTTCTGGATCCCACCAGGGAGGTACACACCTAGGAGTCAGGAGCAGCAATTTTCAGTGCTGTGGGGCCTAAATCCTGCTTATGTCCAGACCAAAATATTTATCTGTATTTCAGTAAATGCTTAGCTCTACCGCATCTTGGTCTTGGTTGCCTTGATAAGTACTACCAGTATGAACAGTTTGGCCAACATGATGTTTATTTTCAGCATTTGTGTAACTTTCACGTGTCATCTGTTACAACATCCATAACAAAATGCTTAAATTTATGTAGCAAAGCTAGGGGAATGCCTTTGGAACAGCTAAATTCACACACTAGTGCAGTTGGACTTGATGATCTTCGAAAATCTCTTCTGACAGAACTGTTCTGTCCTGTCCTGTCCTGTCCTATCCTACTCATCACAATGTTGCTAGTAAAATAAAAAAAATCCTATAAATTGATAGGGTATTCCCCTGCCATGTATACTCTATGCCCCTTTCCCAAAAGGCTAATAAGGTATATTGTTTTGTGAGAATCCCTTCTCACTCAAGAATTCTCAGACTACTGCTTATTAGCATGCTCAACCTGAAATTCAATACCCAACACTGGTACTTTCTTTTTGTCTCACTGGTTCTGTACCCTGGTTCTGCTACCTTAGTTTGTGTGCATATGCAGTGTGGAGTACACAGTGGGGGATTTTTTCAAAGGTCTGGAGGTCTTTCATTCTTGAATTTCTCGTGAAATTCTACTTTAACATTTTCATAAGGCACACAAATATTCTTGGCAATTTACAGTAGTCCTTGTCCAAACTCATTTAAAATATAGTTCAGATGTTCTGAGAATAATAAAGCTAAAACCAGAGAGAAAAAATAATAAAATGATATACTTAGAAGATCAGTGGTTATCTAGGTATTCAATATTTTATCTTAATGGCTTGGATGGAAGGACACTTTTAATTACTTTTATTGAGTTGCTCTGACAGTGTAATAAATGTTTCTAGAAGTCAGATTTGAATCAGAGGAGGGTTTCACATGAAACTGAATGCTTTTTAGAGAGAGTTGCAAACACTGGACTTTGTTATCTAGTATAAATACTGGAAACAAAATGGTTCGCTGATCTTGTTCTCATCAGTCACTTTTCTCCCAAGTTACCAGTGCATTTGCCCATCTGTGATTAAAAATACAGATAACCAAGAAACTGCTGCATTATGGTAAGTGTAAAGAAAATAGAACCAGAAGCTGTGCTTTATAGTAGGCAGGGGGATGCTGCAATATTTGAGCAAGTATCTGCCAGCAGCTGTGAATTAATGAAAGAACTATTACTTCAAAATTATTAAACTTTTAAAAAACAACAACCTTGGATCATGTCAATTTGGTGCCTACTCACTGGAAAGTCACCAAATCTCACTTGCTTTGCTTGGGCCTCACTCAAACATAACTGGCCTCAAGCTAGTAAGCAAGCCAGCAAATGTTCTGGCTTGTAAAGAAATCTGATCCAACTCTGTAAACTGAACCCAGCCTAAGAGTGGTGGTAAGGGGAACATATGGAAAATTAATGACAGATAATAGAATGGTGGGACAGCCTTAAATGAAAAAAATATTGTTATTAAGTTTATGCAACGATTCCAACTAATGGTCTTTTGGCTGGAGGGTCTTTTGAGCTAAGAAAGTTACAGAAAAGCTGAGCATTGCTTTTGACTTTGCCAGCATTGAAACCCCAGAAATGGCTGCTGCACTGCTCTTACCCCTTCTGCAGCCTGAAATCCCCCCCCCCTCTTTAGCCTGTTCTTAATTGATACCTGTAGCAGAATTACTTTCTAAGCTGGTTCAGCTGCAGCAGCACTTTGGGAAGTACAGCAGGTCTGGTCCCACCTGTTTAAATAAATGGGAACCTCAGGAAGAGGAGTGGATTGGAATTTGCTTGGTCTCAAACGGGGTATGACAGCAAAAAGCTAGCCTGAGAACTGCAAGCCTAGCCAAGCACTAGCAGGAGGAGGTAAGAGCAGTATGGGTGTTTTCTTTTTTCCTCTGTGGACCTCCAGGCATTTTGGAAAGATAAGTTGCTACTGGTATGGTGTCACAAACGGGGAAACAGTCTTGGGGAGCTTGTAGTCACACACCTCCTCTCTGGGGGGAATGGGTTTCACAAGGAAAGGGAAGGAGGGAGGGGTCACTTTGAAGAAAGAGTGTGCATTGCTGGAGTATTTATATCCTATGTTTAGTTGGCTGATGGCCAGGGGCACTCATCTAGTGTAGACTTGAAACTCTGGTGCCATATAATAGTTATTTTGTGCTAAGAGAAAAGTGGTTTTTATTTATTTATTTATTTATTTTTCTCCCCACTTTCATTATTTCAGACCAGCTAAAATGCTAATCTGCCTGCCTATAATTTAAAATGCCTTCTTTCTCTTCTTCCCCCTTTCTTTTCACAATGGATGAGCATCAAGCTGTTTTTACTTGCTGAGTAGCTCAGGTGTGTCTTCATTACATATGTCCAGCCCCTTCTATCTTTAACAGACCATGTGGTGCAGTGTTCCCTGGGTGATTTCACGTGGTAAACTGATCCCTCTCACTCAGAAGAGGGCTTCATGTATATCTGAGGAAAAACAGCAAGGGCTACACTGAGGTGAAATGACAGGTGGTCGTCTCCATCTCATTGCTGCTATGTAAGGGTCTATGGCTGTTGGATTATTGTCTTTGTCTCCTGTTGAGTAAATTATCAGGAAGAACAGAGCTTCTGCTTTTTCAGTTGTAGCCCTTCTACAGCAGGAAACCTGTTCTCATTATCTAGTCTTAAGTCTCTCTGCTCCCTTCATTTGAGGTCTCTCTTGAATGAGGACAGCGTGCTGTAATCTTTGCAAACCCATTCTCATTTCCCAGGAATTTACCATAACATTAGCTCATTGTTTATAGTATTTCCCATTCCTTGCTCACACTTCCAGTATGGAGTGTGACACACCCTGTTATCTATTAAAAAGTGAAGTGCCAGCTGAAATGGAGTGGCAGCAAAAAGTGTCATACACATGGCTGTGATAGAAGAGCAGACCCTCACTCTGATGAGCGACATTATTACCAAGTGTGTTTCTGGCTGCATCCATCCTGTTGCACACATGAAAATATTAAGCTTGATGTTGAGTCTCCCACTGGGAGACCCTTCAGGGCTAAAAAGTGTGACAACTCATCTGGTAACTTGGATTTAAAAATAAATGAAGATCGTGTACTATTCAGCATTATTTATTCCTCCTGAACCTGGTAGACCAAGCCACTAGGTTTGCACAGAGACTAGAATGCTGAGTCCACAGCGGTCCTTCTTAGAAGAACCTTGGAGGGTATCTGGAGAGGACCAGACTCCCTCAGAACAGGTACTGAGGGGTCTCTGTCAGCCCTAACCTTTCTTGCCAAACTGATCACTTGAAAGTACAAATGGATTTTCCAGCAAGTGTCCTTCTTTCTCTCTTCTTTTTTTTTTTTTTTTTTTTTCCCCTTCGGATGACTGTCTGCATCTTCATTGCAGTTTAACGAAATGTACTGGGATCAGGATCACAACGAAGAGGTGATTTCTTTTTTCTTTTTTTTTTTTTTTTTTCTTTTTTGGATGGCTTACATTAAATAGATCATCAGATTAGATAATCATAAAGTTTCATGTTAACCTTAAAATTTGATATGCATGAAATAAAACGTCAAAAGCTGAGTTTTATACAAAAAAAAAGAACACAAACACACATGTATTTTTTAATATACATATAAATATGTGGTTTTATACGTACAGTGTGGCAGCACTAATACCAATAGTGCAGCAGCAGAAAACTTTAACTGTGTTTAAGGGGCAGCAGGGAATGACTTAGCAGGCAGGATTTTTTCCTGAGAAATAACTCTTAAACTGCTTCACATGGCTCAGAGACTGGGAATCAGTATCAGTGGGGAAGGAAAGAAATAAGAAATGTTTAGAAATACCAATGTTTCCAAACATAAATATTTCCATTTCTGGTTTGATAAATCTGTTTAAACCCTTTCAGGTTCCCGTGGAGGAATAAAACAGCCTAAAGGTAAAACTTATGATGTAAAAGACTGTTTTCTGTGACCTTGGTGAACCTATGAACTGACCAAAAAAGGTGATGGCTCCAGAGGGCACAGTGCATGTTTTGCTTTTCTAATGTCTAGAAGATTCAATACATCTGAAATATAACGAAAAAATTCCTGCAGGGCAGTGGAGATGTCCTACTGACAAGAGGGAGCTGTATTCTTTTCTCATCACCTCATAAACAGTGGGGTTCTGACTAAGGATGTTAGGTAATGCGTGCCATATACAGAACTCAAAGGGGGTATTACTTTCATTGTATAACCCTTTAAGATCTGAGGCAGTATTGTTTAACAAAGCATATTGTTTTTCCCTCTTGCTTTTACTGAGCTTTGATGCTGATTTTAGAACTTGACAGCTGTGTTTTGACTTGTCATGCATCTCCCATACAGGGGAGGGGGGGGCAAATGTAGATGTTCAGGGCAGCAGGCAAAACAAACTGCATTTAAAAAAAAAAAAAATCAAGATTTGCCATAGGCAATTGTAGGGCAGGTCTGTAAAGCTAGCCAAACTCCTATTGGGAGTTTAGACCTTAACTGAGTGCTGGTCACTCATACACTAGCTGGGAGAACTCTGTGCATCAGACAGGGACTTATAACACCACTGTAGAAAATACTATATTTTATAGTGTTTTCTTGGGATTGTGATCCAGAAGACACACAGGATGCTTGACTTTCCTTGTAGCACTCTTCATTGTGACAATACTTAGGTATGAGTATTTTGTATGAAAAATAATTAGGGTGGAAGAAATTAACGTGTTCCAGGACTTTTTTTTTTTTTTAAAAAGTCAATGTGTTATTCCTACTGCAGTCTGTGAAATAGACTTTTTTTTTTTTTTGGTAATTACATTCAAACCCATAACATCAAACTAATTTGTATATAATATTAACCTGCTGAACTGTTTATCCCTTATGTCTTTTGAGAGAAGTAAAGAGTTCATATTTGTTCCATAGCTGAGTTTTTCAGATGGCCCATCCTTGAACAGTTATGAATACCGTGTGGACATTCAATACCTGGAGCAAGAATAAAACTGAAGTTCTACAGATATCTGAGGAGAATCTCTTGAATAAGCCAGCAGGACTGTACACTGGGAACTATGGGTTGGGGCCTAAATAGGAAAAGACAGGAAATCAAGTGATGTTCAAAACTCTAATAAAATAGAAATCACACAGAATCCTGTTCGGGGTCAGAATAATTTTACATACATACGTGTGTGTGTGTATATATATATACATGTATGTATTTTCCCTCCTCACTGTCCTCTCTAATGACAGAAGAATCAAGAATATTCATTTTTCTCAACTGCTACAGGACACCATGACACAAGGGGCTCTTAACAACTTTCTACCACACAATTCACTAGTTTTATTTTCTTTCTTCTTCCTCTGGAAGAATGACATTTCCATGGTGTTTAAGTCATAGCCCTCTCAGGAGAGGCCTCCTGAGTTTCAGCAAGATTGTATCTAAGGGAAGATGCAAAACCCCAGGATCCTGTTGATGCTCTTCACACAGTGTTTCTGCATATTCTTGTTTCTAAGCCTTAGTGAATTTTATGAGTGCAGGACCTTTGTAGCAACTTCTGTGTAGGAACACCACTTCCTCAGACCATAAGCATGTTTGTTCTGTAAGTATACTTCCCTCACTCTGATATGGGATGTCTTCACCTCTTTTACCTTCTTTCCAGAATTTGTCTTTGCTAACTGAGGAATGGGGCATGATGAGCAACCCTTGCACATACTTCAAATTAATTTTTAACTAGGTATCAGAAGCAAGGCTAACTTAATAAATTAAGTTATTAACTTAATTTACTGCTAAATTAAATTAAATTAACTGCTATTAACTATTTCACAACTGGTCATTTTAGCAGAAATGTCAAATCAATATACTTTTAAGCCAACATAGTACTGTCTGTGAATGGTTAATATCACCTGTGTCCTCTACAAGTGGAAGTTAACATTTTATAGGTCTTAAAGCAGCGTAGGCACAGAATCTGCATTTATTCTCATAAAACAAAATATAAAACAGAACTGCCACTTCTAAAGTAAGATGTTACACAAATATCCCTTTTGCTTAGCCCGCAAATTTGGGCCATCTTAGAAAGAGAAGATCTAAAAGTTCTCTACGTATCTTGCAATAATTTAGATCTAGATCCAAATTTCATCACTTGCAGTGGTTGTCAGTTCCAAACCACCGTGTCTCGTAGAAATTTCTGGAATGTGGAGTATTGCATTTAAAAGCAAAGCAAAAGAGTCCTTGATAGCCACTCCATCATTTAGCTAAACAAAATCCCATACGCGCACCATCCTGCAAGGGAGAATGATAAGGATGGGAGAAATGGGGGGTGGGGGCAGTGAGACTGTGCATACAGTGACAGGAATGTAAGGTTTGGAACAAAGGTGTAAATATATATACATATTAACTGCCTTTGTCCTATAATGCTCTTTAAAAGCTAGTAACATGATTCAGAGGCTTGGGTATTTTAAATCCAAATAAAACCATAATGAAAGACCAGGAAGCCACTTCTTAGTTATCCTTAAACTAAGGATCAAAGCAGAAAGGTATCTCATTTCCATATCTAACTCTGAAGTATTTTATGAAGAAAATCAAAAAATGGATCTTAAGAACAGTTCTTGTTATGCTGTCTTGCATCAGAAGAATGAGTAAGAAAACTTTCCCTTTGCTGGAGGATGTACCCACACAGTATTGTACAGCAAACTTCTTCATCTGTCTCTTGTAATTTTTGGTTTGTAAAGACCAAGAAAGAGTGAGACAGGTTTTTTATTGCCCTGGGATCATTTTTTTTTTTTTCCTCTTCTCTCATAAACCTTCCATATGCTTCTACATCCATGTCTTGTTTTCAATTTTAGTGAAGGTTTTATTTGGAGACTCATAAAATTCTAATTTATTGCAGCTTCTTTTTATAAGATGGATTGGGGAGGCGGGAAGTATTGAGATAGCATGTGCAAGGCAGCCTCAAGGAATGCATTTGTGAATTTAAAGCATCATTCAGTTTATCAACCACTGCTTCAGTTATTGGCATATACTTTTCCTCATTTTTTAACCTATGATCATGCATTCTCACTGTATGTATAGGAAGTCTAAGTGATTTTACAAGTGTATTAATGTACTTTTTTTTTGAGGGGGAAGAGAGGTATGGAATTCAGGTGCTGGCTTTAAAAATCATAAATAGGTCATGCTGATAATGGGTATGGTGAGAGATGGTGAAAAGAACCTGCCTTCCCATTGTGCCACATCTGACATTATTTGGTAATATCTTCTCATGCATTTTTGTGTACTATAGTCCTTGAATTCTATGTAAATTGGGAACATGAATCCTGATTTATTGGGCAGCTGCTCATTTTACCAGCATAAGGTGCACATTTCTAGTACATGGAAAGGTATGGTCTTTCCTCTTGTAGAGCAGAAGTCAGATCAGAAAGTTTTAAGACTGAAAATGGGCATACCAGTATCAACATCAAGAGAGACCTGAAGAATATCCAGGGGCCCAGTGAACTCCCAGATTTATGTGCTTCTTGCATGCACAGACTCCTGAATGCAGAGGGATGCCAAGGGTTGGTCTAGCTAGGTGAGCCTGGTGGGGAACAGAGCACTGAGCATCCCTGAATATACATGTGCTCATGTACTATTTGACCTGCATTTTCACATTTGTGCTTCATTTGGATAGTGAAACTAGTCTACAGACTCATATTTAATAATAAATTTAAATAATCAACTGTTTAAATAATTAAGTATCTTTTTCAGACAGCAAACTGTGCATCCACAGCAGAGTGAGAGGAAATCAGGTGGAAGGGCCTCCCCTTGATACAGTGTGCTCCTATAGGAACCAGTTCTTATTGGCCTGTCAGGGACTGCCTTCTGTCCATGCATACTGTTTGCTGAATAGCAGTAAGAAATGGTCTCCAAGACACCAGTGACAGCAGGCTCTTTCCTTGGTTAGGAGCAGAGGATTTGCCTCCAAGGGAGGAGGAATATCTCCAGGCTCACCTGCCTGCTCTGTTTTCAGAACTGGGCTGTGGACCAAACCATCAACAGATCTTGCTGTAGAGGAAGATTTCTGTGGGGGGGGTGGGGGGGGGAAGTATTTCCTAGTTACTGCCAGCCTAGTTATTTTTCTTTGTCGTTCTCCAATAAAAAAAAATGCCGTTCACCAGCTTAAGTCAATGCCTCATGCTTTAAATAGCGAAGAAGCCAGGCGCTAATGTGTTACTGTGGTTCAAAGTTATGATGAAATTTCAAGTAGCCTCTCACTTCAGTAGAACAAGCATATCTCTCAGTAAGAAACTGCATCACTTTTATGTAACCACATGATGTGCTGAAATCACCTGTAAAAATAACTGTCCAGAGTGAGTTGTATGTTGCACCAGCACAACCTATGTAGAAGGCCTCATCAGGCAGGTAATTAAAAATGTTGTGCAAACTGACATATATTTTTGCATGTTTTTGGTTTGATAGACATGTACATATACATATATATATTCTTGGAATATATTCTTCTTTGTGAACAGCTTCCTACTCCAGTACTGGATTTGGTATTGTATATGTTAAGATATGTCAGTAAAACAGCACTTGTGTTGTTTAAAAGTTTGGAGGGAAGACCCTACTGGGAAAAGTTCATAGGGGTGGGTCAACCTGAGCACTGAAAGAGAAACCCAAGTCCTGCAGCATGTTTGAAAGCTACTCTTGTAGGGGTTGTGAGGAAATATGAGAGCTCTGCTGGAGAAAAACTCTTAGGCAATGGATTTTATTTTTCCCTCTAAATAAAATACAGAATAGGCTTTTAATTGTCTTTTCCCCATAGCAGATACTTAACCCTGTTCGCTACTGTGAGGGGGAAAAAATAAAATTCCAAGCAAAATTCCTACTCAGAGTAAAGATACAAGTGAAACAAAGTACGCAACACGCACCCTTTTCTTTCCTTCCTGTTTTGTTTGGTGTCTTCTAGCTCTGCTTTTCGGACAGCTGAATGGGGGCTGGGAAAGTGTTTACAATATTTTCACATGATTGAGATGGCAGAGTTCTTGCACTCCGTGAAAGGCCTTCTGTTTTCAGATGGCATTGAAAGTTTACCGTCTTTCCAGACAAAAGGAAGAGAGCCCGTTGCCAGCGGATGAGTAATGGGCATGGCCTCTGCACAATACCTCCTATCCAGCCCTAAATCTACATGGTGTTCTTAGGCTTCCCAGCTTCTCCAAAGCAACCTTTGTCTCTGCTCTGGGAGACCAAAACTGCTCGTTGGGCGAGTGGGGAAGCAGCCAAGAGGGGAAGGCTCAGTGACAACAGTTGCTCAGTGCTCACTGCCCAGTATCTGCATTCTTACTATGCTACTATAATAGTTGGAAAACCATCAACAATTGGGCATCTCCTATACAAATATGTTGCAGACCATCTGTATAGTTTTCAGTTCCAGAAGATTCCAGTAACTCACTAAGTTTTAATACTTATTTTTTTTTTTTCCTCGTTAATCTGATGGGCTGCCCTGAGATACGTGATTAAAGCAAAAGCCTGCCATGATTACCTCGGAGCTAAAACTGCACAGAAGTTGCCAATTCCTGTGTTTGTTTTCTCACAAGCAACTTGAAGCAGGCATTTTCCACTTAATAATTTTTAGATTCTTTTTTTTTTTTCTGATCAGAAAAATGCTTGGTGAAAATGATTGTTAATGTATCCTTTCAAAATATTTGAACAGACAATTCTAAAGTTTTTCCAGAGAATCTGTGCACTTGTTGGCATTATAGAGATTAGTAGGCAATTGTTTTTCTTGTCTCTCTTTAAAGTTTCCTAGAGCTTGTCTGACTGGAATTCATGTATATATGTAATTGTCTAATACGTTTGTCGGGTGTGTGACTGTCTCTCTGTCTACCTGTCCACAAAAACTCACATTTCGCTCTTGTGTAGCTTAAGCATGCTGAGAAGAGCTTTCTAAGAATTAACCTAGCAGTCATTAACTGCACTAAATTTTGATTATTTGCTCAGCTAAGAATTGTCAGCAGTTTTTTTTAATGCTGATTTGATAGTGCCCAGACACCGATTTATTGTTGTCAGGAAAACAGAAGCTAAGGCTTAAGAGATGCTGGATTTCTTAAAAGTTTGTTGGAGCTGGTAGCAGCAATTTACTGATTAATCTGCAGTAACCTGTAGAGCTGACAGTCCTGGGTATACAAGCAGTGCATTAAGGTTATTAGCCAAACTATTCTCTAAATTACCTGAACAGGGTTTTCAAGGTAACTAATTCTATTCTTTGGACCTTTTTTTTTTTTTTTTTTTTAAGAGTTAGCTGTTTAAAACAGCATTAAAATAACCCGGCTTCATTTCCTCAGCTGAAAGAGCAAGTCAGCTGAAACCTGGACTTTTTGCTGAAAGGGGGGAAAAAAAAAGAGGTAGTTTTTCTTTTAAAGAGCATGACCATACACATTCCGCTTTGGTGCCTTTAAAGCAACTTCCCTGTTTCAAATGCCCTTGAGCACAGAAATACCAACACCTCTTAATTGTTTAATATATTACAGCTTAAAACATTTACAGAAGTGCTCTCCAAGTATTTCACTGTTCCAGGTGCTCGGTCCCGCACCTCCTAAAATAATAGGCTATTTCCCCTTGCTTTTCATGTGCTCAGTGCCACACCAAGACACAGGCTGTGCAGCAAGGGAAGGAGAAGGGAAGGAAGCAAGTGGGACTGCCTGACACAGGGCCTTGCACTTGCGGCACACACAGACTTCTCTGTCTGGCGTCACATGGCTTGAGGAAGGGGAAAATAACATGGCTTGGACTTGGACTATAAGATCTTTGAGGAGAAAAATGTCATAGTGTTAAGCATTTGAATGTCACCCTTCACAAAGTGCCCTATCAGTGTGTCCTCTGAGCAGCATCCCAAAATGACAAATAATTCTAGTACCCAGCAGTGCTGAACACACACCAGCACATGATGCAGGCATCTTGCAGCCATCTTGATGCCATGCTACGAGCTGCATTCAGTGCTGCATGGAGGTGGTGTGAAGCTGAGGTCACATGCAACCGTGCTTCAGATGGGGGAAAATCATTCTGAAAAACCCTAACACTTTAATTTGATTTAGGGGATGTGAAGTGTGTTAAAACAATTGGTCTGGCCTGTGCTTAACTAATTTATTTTACAGTTTGTCTAGCCAAACTGAATCAACTCTTTTTCTCTGCTTGAGAAATCAGTCCCTTAATACAGAGCACTCAGCCCCCTCGTGCTTCAGTGAGTCTAAGCCCTGCCATAGCAGGATCCAAGCTGCTCCGTCAAAACTCAGCATCATGTTGTCCCCCTGCTAAGGATCCCAGCTGACACCTGGGGGTTTCAAGCCCTTCACCTGATCTGGCTCTGCGAGGGAGCTGGAGGCAGGGTGGCTGTGGCTGGCCCCAGGGAGCAGGCAGTGCAGAGTTAAACGCTTCAGAGGGAGATGAGGACTGAACCGTGCAGTGAGCGGGGTTTCAGTCCCCCACTTCCCAGCTAAATTGCCTGCCATCCTTTTGACCCCAAGTCTCCCGTGTGATGGGGCAGTGATCTGGCTGCTGAGCCACTAGACTAATATTGTTCTTTTAATCTCACAAAAATGTGTATAAAAGAGTTTGATTCACATGAGAAATTAAGTAGAAGATCTGTCCTCATAAAGACATTATACCATGAATGCTCTCTTTCTGCTGGCTGCAAGAATAGGTGGCTCAGGGGTGAAAGGGTAGCATTTACATTTAAATACACCTATTGGAATCATACAAACAGAAGGCTAAAACTACTGCACCCTCTCTGAATGCTTTTAGGCTTTGCAGCTTTTTTACACTGCAGCATTTTTTTTTTTTTTAAATAATCAAAAATGGGAAACGAGACCCTTAAAATCCCATAAGATAAAACAAAGAAGGTCTTTGTGTCAGCAGGATAAATGGATGAGCCTTTTCAAACTAATTATTTTACTTTTCATGCTGCTCAAGAGGTGAAATCCAGATATGAACGGCAGCCTTCTCTGCTGTTACACTAACTGGTAGTGCTAGCTGGGTGTGATGCTGTTTACATTTCCCAGAGAAAGTGAACAGCACTTTTTTTTTTTTTTTTTTTGTGCCTGCCAAACCCAGATTTACCCCTGATAAAACAGAAAGCTCCTTAACACCTGGAGAAAACAGAAACTGAAACACTGCGGAAAGAACACTAGTGCCAGGGTGGCCTGGCAGCCAGGGTGAAAGCTCAGCAAAACTCTTGAAATGCACCCACTTAACCTGGGCCAGGGCTTTTTCCCTTTCCTCTCTGCTATATTCCTCCCCCCTGTGCAGTGACAGAGGTGTACAGACTAGAGCTGCAAAAATTCAGGGGTTACCATTGCTCTTTGGGACAGTTGGTTGCTGAACATATATACGTAAGCTGTGTATTTTCCTTGACATTTTCTCACATATTTGATAGCTCTTTTATCATGCCTTTCCAGCCAAACTAGGGCCAAATCCAAACAGGATGAATAAATGCCTTAAAATTACAACGTAGCTGGAAATCAGAAATCAGGAGCTGTGTTCTGACTGGTTTTGCACACACTCCCACATTATCACATAACATATAGCTAATAATGCTAATCACTAAATATGTTCCAGATGCCTCTGGACAGTGAATAACTTAAAATCCAGATCTGGATGTGGCAGCTTCTTAACCTCTAGTTAACATTTTTTCCCTTTGGCTATGTATGTAAAACTGCTATCTTACTATATAACATTGTATTGACGTCTAAGGTATTTTTATAAACTTAGTGAAATGATAGCGCCTATAGAATCTCTTCCAAATGGAGTGACTGATCAGATTTTCAAAGTGCATGTGAAGAAAAACTGAAGGATCCCTTATCTCTATATTCAGTAGCCATTTATGGATCTTTTTTTAAGAGCATATCTAATTGTATTTTGTATTTTTGTACAGTGTGACCTTTGCAACACAGTGTGGCTGTGTAAGAGGAAAGCATGTCCCTTAGTCTTCCTAGCGTGCCTTTCTAGCTTTTATATTATCGCTGTCTTCATATTTTTGGTCACAGTTTAATGTTAAATACACATCACTCATCCATTTTCCAAGCTGAGGAATGTTCTGTGACCTAAGCTTTCCATATAAAGAAGTTGTCTACACATCACATAGTCTCTGTTACACCCTGTGTAGCTTTACTCCTTCTGCTACGCCCTTTTGGAGGTGAGGGGATCAGAGGTGTACATGGTATTCACCGTGAATGTATAAAATGGCATTTGCAAATGAACAAAACTGCTTTGTTCTCTCTTCCCTTCCATAGGACTCCTGACATCCTGTCTGATTCTGACCACTGCTGAGCATTAACATGACATTTTCATGGAGTTTAAAGGTTCTTTGTAAGAAGTTATTTTTCTGACCCATGGATACATAGGGCTGCATTACCTGAATTCAGAGTACTTTATGTCTTCTGTGGAGCAATTTAGACAACCTAAATTGCATACCTATGTGTTCTAATCCTACAGTGCAATGAAGGTGCCTCAGTACTCCTCAAGGAAAATTTCCTTCCAGCTCACCAACAGCGAGCATTAAGCACCTCACCCCACCCTGAATTCAGGTAAAAATTATCTTCTGAGTAATAAAACACCATTTAATCTTCCAAGGAATAAAACACCAATTAAAGGCCATGTTTAAAACATGGAGGGTATGGTAGATGTTGTGAAGTTCTGGTTCCTGGCTCATCTCCTGTTTTCAATAACCGTGTAACGTAAAAGGTCACATTATTCCTGAGAGCAAGGATCAGAATCCTACAGCTATCTCCTGCCACTATCTGATAGGTAAGTTGTCTCTCTTCTTTCCTTGGAGGACACTTAAATGTTTCTGGGGAAATGTCGTGGGAACTTCCAGGTCAAAGAGGGAAGCCTGCAGTTGCTTTTCGGTTCTCATATTGTTAGGCTGTGTGGGCAGACGATGGTCTGAGTTGTTGTTTGAGGTTAGAACCAGACACTTCCACTCCAATTTAGGCAACATTACTGGAAATGGGCCAATAAGTTTATGCTAAAATTTTAGTATCATTAAGTTATACCAAGCATAGCTCTACAACAATCAAATACTCATTTCCTAGCTTGAGGCTCTCATTTCACACTCTGAATGAATAAAATATAGCCTGACCAAAGAGAGGCTGTGAGAGGAGTGCAAACTCTACTTAGAGGTTAACAACCTGATTTCTCTCTCATACCAGTTTTACGGTCACTTAGCTCCATTGACTTTGGTGGAATGAGTCCTGATTTACAACATTGCTTCAGAGCAGGTTTAAAGCTGTGCTACACAATAGCAATACTGGTGCCAGTTCTTGGAGCAAAGTGTATTTGCATTGTGCATGCCGCAGTACTATCAGGTCTGAGACCGTAAAGAAAATGTTTATTCTTTTTTGATCTCTGGAGAACAGAGGTGCAAGAAATTATTTAGAGCTCTCATTTGTTACCTTACTTGTATGGTTTAATATCAGTTATGTTTTGTTTGTTTGTTTGTTTGTTTTTTCCTTCAGTGATTTGTCCTTTATCAAGGCAATCCTGTGCTTTCAAATCTAATATGTTGGGTTAGAGGTTTACAGAGTTCACGTTGGTGTGTATTTTTGGTGGGAACACCCTCAACTTGAAATGCTATCTGATGTAAAAAGCAAGCAAACAAACAAAAACCAACAATGAAACAGATTGTATTAGTTATTTAAGAAACTACTTAGAAATTAGTTTACCTCCTGTCACCTCTCCCAAGTATGATTTTAAGTCCATGCACAATAGGCTGCCATTTCTTCAGTTCCTGGTGTTTGATGTGATGTACCAGCACTGGAGGCCTCTGTGCTGCTTCCTACCTCACACTGGCATCTTATCTGCAGAGCAGATGGAGGAAACCATCTGAGTGAATACACCTGATCAAGAGATGAGGACCCATGTTCTTAGCTTGACTCATGTTGACACAAAACACTTTTATTGTGGGAAAGCTAAGCAAGCCAAACATGATGGACTTGCAATCCACTTCACTGCTACATAGATACACTCATGTCTACTGGAGCCCCTCTTCTGTAACTTCAGCCCATCTGCACTGAAGGTATGCAAAACCTGGGGGTGTGTGACCCTGTGCTTTTGTTGTTTCTCTGATGTAGCTCTTAAATTGCCATAGCTCATCTTTCACAGTTCTTAGGATCTGGTCTGTCATTGGGCAGCTGTAGAAGGATCATATCTGCTTTGTGAGCCAGCCCTTTTCTTCCCCAGTACAACAGTGGTGTACTTGGGGAAAAGGTCAACTAGCCCACTGCCTTCTCTTTCCCCATAACATGATCGGTAGTTGGGCAAAAGCATCAGAAGTGCATTACAGAGTTGAGAACAATTCCTGAGAGATGTCATTGTTAGTTGACCAGCGGCAGACTCTTTAAATTAATGATCCTTCTAGAACATGTAGGCCAGCTGATCCAAGACTCACGTTCATGTTGTGACCATTTGATATTATGTTATGAGTGTTTCTAGTAGGGATAATGTGTTTTGAAACTTCATATTAAGGATAATAATAAACAAAAACACATCTCTGTTATCTCCCAAAAAGAAAACTCCACTATGATTATGTATCTGATGGATCTTGAAGGCTTCAAGGCCTTCGTAGATGTCAGGGTTAATGCAAGACAGATTGCTGAAGGAACCAGGTGGCTGTGGTGCCACATTTTTATTGCTCTTTCTCTTTCCCCCCAAAATCCTGACTTTAAAATGTTTCTTATGTGCCTGGCTGTTGGGAGAAAGCTTCATAGTTGTGGTCTGTTAGCTCAACATTTGCTGCGCTGCCCGAATGTGAAAGCAAGCATGGAGGGTAGGTTCTCCATGACTTCTGTGGGATCTGGAGCAGATCCATGAGGAGTGCTACTGTTTTCAGCACTTCTTTTTCTCTGCCTAAGAGCAGGCACACTGAGATATGAATGTTGTTGCAGCTGCCGTATAGTACATGTAAGCCACATGTTGATCATTATTGCTTTAAATGAGAAGGTTTTTGTTTAAAATGCTTGTTTTCTTCCATCTAGAACCTACTGTTTTTTTTTTTATTTTTATTTTTTATTTTTTTTTTTATTTTCTACAATACTTAAAGTTTGCATTTTTAATGCTGTTAACAGTATACCTGGAATTTACACATCACAGTTTGTATTTATTAAAAAGACTATCCAGATATCTATTTTTTCATTGTGCAGACAGCTTTATAGTAACAGAGAACTAGCTCCTAATTAGTTGAAATGGATTGGCTATTCATTCTTCAATCATTTGTATTATTTTATGTTGTTGTTTATTAATTCTAGGTCTGCTTCAGTCCCCTCCCCAAATAAGAGAGAATGTTTTTATTTAAAATATAATGAACTGTGTTGCATTTAGAAGAGCTGCATGGTCAAATGATGTTATCCTGTCAACCTACTGAATGCCATGCCACGATGCCAGTGTTTGGACTCTGTATTAACTGCTGGCTTTGGTAAGACTGGAAAGGAAAGGAAGACCTGGACACACTGACTACATATAAACTATGAAATAAAATTGGTCAGAGACTTTTCCTTGATGCCAACTGGCATGGAAGAGCTTGCATTCACACAGCTAAACTCTTCTTACCCTTCAAATCACAGTGGCCACATCCAAAATACCTACTGGAGACAGTCCCTGACATAGGTTAATACCCAAACTGTGCTTTGGCAATGACTGGAAGAGCACAAGCAAGTTTGAGCCTAAACTATGCCAGTGACCAGATTAGTAGTATGGATGGTTTTGAACCCATGTCTCATTAGTCCTGTTTAGTTTAGTTAGTGTCAGAGTGAAACCTCAGTCCTACTGCCAGCAGCCAACAGAAAACCCCTATTGGCCTCGGTGACCAGAAGCTGCTGAGAAGTATAATTATTACTTTGCTTACCTCCCTCATATTTGGATTCTTTTTTTCCTCTCATTCTGTCTATTACCAAATGAGTACTGAAATAAACATTTTTAAAAAATAGCATAGTGTAATGAAATTGGATTGTTTCCTGTTCAAAACTTGTTAGTTTTGAATGACCCACAGGGTTATCAAACAGGCTTAGGTTCTGGTAAAGCCAGCTTCATCTCTCTTCTCTGATGGAAGAGCTCCTGCAGCTTTAAGCAAATAACTTAGATTGTATATGACTATGCACCCCATTTGGATAAAGAGTTAAAAGCCACAACGTATTGAGATACAAACATGCCAGGTGCTTAAGGTCACATAAGCATTTGAAACTGATGTGAGCATAAAACTACCTTTGATTTCTGTGTCACTTTTTTATTTTTTATTATTATTATTTTTAAAATTTATTTAATATATATATCTGGGAAGGGAATTTGTTTTAAATCCTGAAAAATGAACTTGAGTGTGTTCACCCCTGTGTCAAGACGCTTTCAGAGTTGAAGGAAATGCTGGGGGTGGGTTTGGATAAACCTGAAGTATTCTACAGGGATGGCTGTGCTAATTTGGAGAGAGGCTGCTCTGTTTCCAGAGCTAACTCTCTGCACCTGGTACCCCAGTTAACCCGTGTAAAACTATCCTTCACAGTACTATGCTATACTTCTGCCTGCAGCAATATAAATAAGAATCAGGCAATTCATGCTATAATCTTTTTCTCTATTCTAAAGATAAATGGCACTGGAGAACAAGTTGATTTAAAAAGCTCATCATACAAAATGATTATATTAAGCCATGCTGTATTACTGAGATTACAGAAAATGACCTGCATGTATTGAATTAAACCACGATTTTTCAATGATCTCAGTGGCAGCAGAATTGGGACATTTTAATCATTGCATTATCAGTTTGTGAGGTAGGTAACTACTATACCAAATTGCTGCTCAAAATGAAAAACAGTATTGTTTTATCCAGAAGGTTTCTGGTTTCCAGCACTAGCCTTTACTTTTCTTAGAGCTCAGACATATGATTGAATTACTAAAGCTGACAAGTACTGATTTCAACGACATTTAAGCTAAGGTATTTTTTACCTTGGGTTTGCTACAGGCTAAGAGTGTGCTGTTAATTAATGCGGTCATTTGATGTGCAGCACCTTGCCGAACCATGAGAACTTGATTGTGGGCTTTTGCCCAACGTTTCTTTTAGGTTAAAAAGCCTCTTTGTTTCTTAATTGACCTATTCATGGATCAGCCTCATAAAGGAGTCTATAGAACCCAACATGCACATAGTCATACCTGGCCTGGGCTGTGTGAATCTTTTTTAAGGAAAACATTATGAAGAAAAGGATAAAACAGTTGCCTAGAATGATTTACATAGAAATTGATTTATTTTCTTTTCTTCTTCTGAGCTGGACTTTGAAAAGCAGGAAGCGCTTCAGCAAAGCAGAGGAGGAACACAGAGGAACATTTGATCTATCATCGTTTGGCTCCCTTTCTCTGTCTGCCATGTTGCACCGTAAGTCCAAAGCACTCTCTCCCATGGTTGCTTGCACATCAGTGACTCTGCTCAGACTGAGTGAGGCAAGTAAAGTTAAGGCTTGCAAGGCCATAATGTGTTTATTTGTGCAGTCTGATCTTGAGAGGAGCCAAGGAGGACTTGCATCTCCCTCCCACTGATATCGGTGGTGTTGAAAGTGCTCAGTGCATTCCAGGGCAAAGCCTTGGAGGCTGCTGGTGAGAGAGCTGCAAACGTTGCTTTGGAAGTACATGCAGATTCCTTTGGTCTTCACTGGGGGCGAGCTGGGCCTACATTTAAAAACAACAACAACAAAGCCAACAATAGTTGTAGTGGCTCAGCTAACAACAAAGGGACTTCAGCCCAAGCACCTTCCAGCGTGGGTGTGCTCTGGAATTAGAAATAGGCCTGAAGCTTGACCCAGGGGTGGGTATCTCCCTGTTTTTCCCGTGGGCAGAAGGGTGCTGGCTCTGCCCAGGCCTCAGCATCCTGTGGTGTGCGAGGATGGAGCCCAGCAGCCCATGCTGATGTTCCCTGCTCCTAGCAGAAGGTGCCACCGCAGGCTGGATGCTTCTTCATTCTGTACAGGCGCTGAGCTCTGCCAGGCAGGCATCACCCTGGCTTCAACTCATGCTCTTTCTGACCTATCTAGCTATTTTAAAGCTGGATCCTTTTAGCTTATATTCTCTCTCAGACAATTTTTTTTTCTTCCCCTCTCTACTTCCACAGCTGAACCCACTTTGCCAAACTCCCTACTCCACCATCTATCCACCACCCCATATGTTTATATTTTCCTATAGCTGAGACACATTGTGCTGACCTGCCTGGACAGAACTCCTTTATCACAGAGATAAACATGATGTCCCCCTCACATAGAGTTTCTATCATGTGTGACCTTTCATCTTGAACTGCCATGACCTTTTTTTTTTTTTTTTTAATGCTTCACTGTGCTTCTTGCAGCAGCCAGGAAAGAAAATCTTTTGTTTCTAGATAGAATACTGCTAAAGGACATGATACGGTCTTGTTTTTAATCCAGCTAATTAAAATCTGCATGTGCAGTGTAACTGAGAACGCAGCCTTCGCCCACCACTTTCCCACAGGCAGGGAATAAAGGCCTTTAGTGCAGCAATAGCTAGCCACCCTTGGATAACAGAGAACAGAGCCCACAATTCATCCCAGCTTTCCTTATCATATCCATGGAGGGCTTTTCCCTCCCTCCCCCTCTCTCCCCATGGAATCACTTACTGTAGCTATGTGCCTCTATACATCACTTCAGAATGTAATCAAGTTAAAAATATGCTAGGTCTCATTTGTCTATGCACCAGAGAGCTCTGAATATAATTCATTTCCAGTAAGAAAAAGAAGAGAAAGAAAAGAGAAAGAAGAAAGAAAAAGAGGGAAAGAAAAGAAGAAAAGAAAGAAAAAGTGTCTATTTCTAGTCACATGTCAAACCTATTTATGTTAAAACTGTTTTGCCAAGAACTAACTGAATAACACGGTTTAGCAGTTCACACTTTCGTACGTTCATTATGTGGGGTTTTAGGATTTGTTGGATGGCTGCGGTTATTACTAAGGCTGGCTTTGTATGTGTAAGGGGGAGAGGGTGCCATGGAATGTTTTTTTGTGAAGCATTTCCCTGGTTAGTTTTTCACTTGTTGCTTTTTGTTGGGTAGCTGAAGTGGGGGAGGGAAGAGGAGGAGGAGGGCAGCCGTGTGGGAAGAAGCAGTACGGGAAGAATGGGAAGCACTAAAACTGAGCCTCCACCTGTTTTCTCTTTCTCCAAGTCATGTTTTATATGATGATGAGGTCACAGGGAGCACAAAAATGTGCCAGGAGACTCAAAACTTGGAAGGAGATTGTACAACATTAGCAGAAAATACATTTGAGTGACTGTAAAGAAGCCCTCCCTCCCCCCGTAGCTTCCCCTTTAAAGCACAAACAGGCTTTCAGTGGGCATCCCCTGGTAACCCTCACAAAGAGCTGTTCCAACAGCTGTGTGTGCAGCTAAACACCATCCTTGGGCTGCTCTGGCGAGTGCCGATCTCCATTTGTCGGCTTCCCTAACTCGGTCAGTGTGGCATACATGCAACTAAAACATTAAAGGAAGGGAGTCTGGAAACATTGTGAGTCTGGGATAAATACACAACATCTCTAGAAATGAGTTATGGTCTTATTTTATTTGCCAATAATGAATTATTCACACAATTGTTGTGCTCAGGGAATGATTAAAGAGATATAAAAACATTGTGTTTTGCAATCTAATAGGGCTTACTAGGTGACACCCATCTAACTAAAGCAAATAACTTTTTTTTTTTTTTTTTTTTTTTTTTTTTAAAAAAAAACACCTGAATATTTTAAAAACAGAGAACAGGATGATTAGAAAGTACTGGGAAGTACTGGGCAGTACTGGTCTGCCTATATGCTAAAAGACAGTATGTCCATCAAATACAATAGCGCTTTTCATCATAACTTCATTATCTTCTGCTGACCTCTGTAGAAATGAATGAAGAGATCTGTACATGTTCCCATAGTTAATGCCTATGGATGGCTAACACAGAATAAGAAACTGCTATTGATATATTTATATAACAGTGGTATATTACATTTATATGGCATAACATGAAAATATGGTAAACAATACTGTATATTCTCTGGAATAAATATTTAAACAGTAAAGCAGTGAGAGACAAGAAGACATTTATCTGCCTTTTCCCAATTATATATATATATATATTTGTTGAGAAATATATTTGATAATTGAGAAATATATTCGTTCAATAATTATTCTCCAATGGTTACATCTGTATTGATGCAGTAAAAAGGTTACTAATATTAAGTCATATTCTTATAAAATTAGCGTTCGCTTATTGTTTAAGCAATATAAGATTTATGAAATGTGTGTTTAAGTGTGCTAATCCTAATAAATATGGCTTTTTTATTGTTACTTAGCAACCTTCCATAAGCATTTAAAATTAATTTATATTTTGGGGCAACATGTAATTTTTATGTGCAGATGTGATGTTAAATAATTTCCTGTAATTCTATGTAATTAATAACATAAATTAGGGTGATGATTATTATTTTTATCACTAATAACAGTTGTTGTAAAGTCCTTCTTATGCAGAGGGCACATAACAAGATGTAAAAATCAACCACATTGCTATGTTAGTCACACATGACAAGCAGCATGGCATAAATACTCCCTCAAAGTTACTGAAGGGTGCTGAACATCAGGGCACACTAAAGGTCAGGCTTAATAATGGGATGCAAGTTTCAGATCCCCACAGTGAACATTTAATATATTGGAAATTGGGAGCCCTACTTGGTAAGTCCCTACACCTCTTTATGCACTCAAAACTGCATTCCAAAAAGTTAGCTTATGATAGAACCCAAAACTCAAGAGGCTTACATGCCAACGATGAAAGCTATTTAAAATGTTCAGCTATGGCTGCAATAAGATCCCTTCAAAATGACCATTCTTCTTTCCTGTACTAACCTCGTATCAAAGCAATTTCTTAAATCAGCGCCAAAAGAAGAGAAGAGAATAACTGTGATTAACTTTCTTTTGACACTGCACCCTTACAATCCAATGCTCGGATTTCATTGCAACCCTTCCAAACAAAAGCTGTCTAGTCTAATTGTGCAAGAATGTTTTATAAGGCTATGAAATGAAGGGTCAATTAATTATGCCCTTTCTACCAATGATGAAGACCAGGGCAATAATGCTTCATCCAAACTGATGATTCAGGGGGACAGTTTGCAGCTGCTGAACTGCAAACAAAAACATGAGTCACCCACTGACTTGCATAAAAACTGAAAAAATATTATGATCAGAAATTACTTTCCCTACCCTCAGAGCAGAGGAACACAGAGGCAGCTCTTTTCCTGAAAGATAACTAGCTAGGTTTATTACTGGTGGTGAATGGCACACATGCAGAATGATGGCGTAACCATGTGGCTCTGAAAATGGAAGAGTAAATCTGAACAAAAATCTTGCATAGAGTCGTAGGATATTCTCAGTTGGAAGGTCCCCACAAGGATCATGGAAATCAACTCCTGGCTCCACACAGGACAACCCAAAAATCAAACCCTGTGTCTGAGAGTGTTGTCTGAACGCTTCTAGAACTCCAGCCGGCTCAGTGCCATGACCACTGCCGTGCGGAGCCTGTCCCAGTGCCCGAGCACCCTCTGGGTGCAGAGCCTTTCCCTAACCCCCAGCCTGACCCTCCCCTGTCCCAGCTCCATGCCGTTCCCTCGGGTCCTGTCACTGTCCCCAGAGAGCAGAGCTCAGCGCCTGCCCCTCCGCTCCCCTCGTGAGAGAGCTGCAAGCCGCCATGAGGCCTCCCCTCAGCCTGCTCTGCTCGGGGCTGAGCAAACCATGTGACTTCAGCCACTCTTGGTATGCCTTCACCATCTTTGTAGCCCTGCTTTGGATACTCTCTGACAGTTTTATGTCCTTCTTATATCGTGGCACCCAGAACCTTAGCCATGTTTTACCTGCTGATGATAATTCTATGTTAATAAAAACTGAGCCGGAGACTTGGGATTTAATTAGCTTACTGCTAGCATAATAACAACAACAATAACACTAATAAGTAGTTATTAGTAATGGGAACACAGAGACAGCTCTTGTTAGTTATAGGTAATTAGTTATCAGCAATGGGAAGAGGGTGGTAGCAGCAGGAGCCCAGGGCTCGCTGCCCTGCAGACACCTAGCAAACGGAGTGCGATGGGAGCAACACCAAGGCTGCCTTCAGCAGGCTGAGCATGAGATGTAAGCCACAAAAACACTAAACTGCTTATTTATGGTCTTCATTTACTCATTTATCCTTGGTCTGTCAGTGAGGTCCTAGTTTCTCTCTAGGATGGGTTTAAGTCCAGAAGGAGCCGGGAATTCCAGTATGATCCCTCCTCCACCTGCACCTTCAGGCCTTGGTAGACCAAGGGGTGGGTTTTCGTAAGGCACCAAAAAACACATATGTACAAGGCACACATAAAAC